GTGTGTGTGTGTGTGTGTGTGTGTGTGTGTGTGTGTGTGTGTGTGTGACAGAGAGAAAGAAGGAGAGATAGATGGAGGGGGGAGGTAGCGTCTAGCAGCTCCATAATGGAGGACACGGACGATAAGTGCGACTCTAATTACTGTAGACGTTTAACCCTTTTACATCCTCGAGTCTGCAAGTTTGACACCAGACGTCAGAGCCAGATTTGGATTATAAGAGAGAAATTATGCTCGTTTTTAGGCTGCATTTGAGGGAGGTAAAGGATTTGTCTTGATGTGTCTCACAGGAGGACAGCAGCAGCAAACATAATCTAACAGTAACCTTTTTTTTAGCATTACCCTTTTATTTTTATATAATCTAACAGTGTTTTATTATGGCCACGTTGTAGATTTCAGCAAAAACAAAAAGAAAAACTGCAGGGTTGCTGTACAGAAAACAAAACTGGCTTAAAGCCCTGATTCGCTTTGCCTCAAATGGCCCAGTCGGTACTAGCAGTGGGCTCCTGGGACTCCATAATGCTTTTTAATTAGAGCCCTTTGAAGATGAATGTCCACACTGCAAAACAACCCCATTCATTAATCATCATACGGGAAATGGGCTTTTTACAAAAAGAATCTTTGATAGGTCCGGATATTCATTTTTAATCAGCGCTGAAACGAGTGTGAGAGACTTTGTGGAGCTTAAAATGATGACACTGACAATCAAGGATGGACAAACACCCCATATAAGCCCTGTGGCATTACAGGACATGAATTCACTGAACATGTATCAACATCATCAACATAAAAGCCATGTTAGTGAGCCATAATCACACTTGTCTTTAATCAGGTATTATAGACAGGATTAGTGGAAAAATATTCGTAGGTGATTTGTTTCAAGCTGCTGAGGAGGAAAAAAAAAAGTCTTCAAATCAGATTAGAAGTGATGCCACTGGATAAAAGCACCACTACTTTGATTTCCTGTGATAAAGAGCCTGTAAAGCGTGGCACATGTTGGCTCGGATCTAATCTTTTTTACTTGGTAATCCTGGTCAGTTAGACATCCACTAAATGACAGGGAGCTCGGGGGAAAAAGGAGAGGGAAAGAGAGGAATTAAAGGGCGCCTTTGTGGATCCAAGTTCTCCAGAAGGACACGAGCAGCATCCTAATTTTGAAACTGTGGCTTGAAATGTGAAAACGTCTCTTTTTTTTGGGGGGGGGGGGGGGGGGGGGGGGGGGTGGGAAGTAG